GCATTTATGCTAGAGAAATTAGCAAACACTACTAATCAGGATTTTTTGCCCCCCAATAAGCTGGTTGTTCAACATTAACTAGCACACAACATTAACTAGGTCGTGAGTACAACAGGCCTGACAGCCTTGTCACTTCTTTCAGGTGTATATTTCTACTATGATCCCCTATGGGCTGGTCTTCTATTTGACTCATAGAGAGCAATTTGTTGGCCTCATTTCTTAATGGGCACCTTGCTTTGTCCCCAGCCCTCACAATAAAGGGCTCACATAGTTGAGGCTCCAGCCCTGTGGGAAGGTGGTCTAGGACAGGCAGCCCTGACACTCAGCACAGCTCTTTCCACGTGCCTCTCACCTGTCAAAACTACTGCTATATGTAGGAGTTGTTTCAGCTACTGGAAAGGGTTTCATAAAGTCATTTCTTCTGAGTTGTTAGTATTGACACAATGTGCTAACTTGCCTCAGACTATTTGTATTTTCATAGAAACAGAGACAGCATAAGGGAAGAGGGCCATCCGTTTCTTCTTGTTTTGCAGATATACTAGTGATGACATTCAGAAAAGGTGCAGGAAGTTACAGGAAGTAAACAGGTCTTCTGTGTCCCAGGAGCACCCTCTCCTTTGCCCAGCCTGCTGATTCCTCATCCCTGGAACCCCACTTTCCTGGAAGTTTACTTCTAAATGCAGTAAATGGGATACAGCTGGGTTTGTCTAATCAACAGATATCTTGAGGAAACACACGCTTGAGAGAACCTCCAGAAACATAATCTCAGGAACTGCTGGTGTTCTTGGGGACAAATGACCCAATGGCAAGTCTGGGTTGACTTTCAGTTTGCAAGCTGCCAAGAGGTCTGGGCAGCTTCTCCAGTTCTCAGAGGTGCCCCTGTGACTCTTCACTCTCTGGCACCTGCCACTTGTTTAGCTCTTATTGTCATATGACTCATATGGTGTCTCTTTTCAATGCCTAATATTTTAGGGATTCAGCTGACTCACACAAGAGGAAGGCGAATAGGCATAAGGTGTGTGCAAAGAAGTCTACTGAAGATGGGATCTATTGGGTTTTAAGAAAATAAGACTTAAGGATAAGTAAGAGGCAGAATTCTGAGGAGCTTAAGTTCAGGGATAATGTTCAACATCCCAGGGATAATGTTCAACATCTACTATAAAACCAAATTTTTGGCTAAGCCATTTATACTTTCTGGACGACTGTTTTAACTTTCACTTATATCTACTCACCTTTTTAAAAATGAACAATGCAACGATTTTTAAGAAAATAGAACCAACACTGGAGCTTCCTATAATAATAAATCTTCATATTTCTATGATACTTTATAGTTTACAAAGCATATTATCTCATTTGACCCTTACAAAAACCCATGAGGTGGATATTTTTACTATCCACATTTTATAGATAAGGAAGTAAAGCTCATAAAGGTTTGGAGACTTTCTCCAAAATGTTGTCAGAGAACGAAGACCTGAATGCAGGTCTACAGAATTCAGAGGGCAAGCTTAAAGACAAACAAATAAACAGAAAACAAAAAACCCTCCCCAAATCCTATACCACTTTATAGAAATGCTTCTGTGCAGAATTCACGGTAAATTTGATCTTGAACTTCATTTTACTTCTGAAGATGCCAGAAATTCTGGAAACTCCTGTTAGGAAATGGTCTCTCCTATAACTCTGAGTCTTTGGGATGGTTTTTGATAGTGATGTTCCAAATTAGAGTAGTATTGATCAGTATACAGCCCTGGATGGCACCAATAAAGTTTTAAAAAATCTGTTTTTTCTAAATGCTGGTTCATCTTAGTGAGTGTACCCTTTTCCTATCCAATAAAGAAGAAAATATTCTCGAAGAGGACAGAAGCCCTAGACTCCCGCTCAGGTCAATGTTTGGATGACTGTGGCTAAATCAACCTGCTAATACACTATTCTACGCAATATTTGGGAAGAGCAGATGAATCCCTGTAGGTGAAAATACTTCTGAAAACTCTAGGGTTCTATATGGGTGAGTCCGCCATCTTCAGATGAAAATGAAGCCTGTAAACTTTTTCAGATGACCAAGGAGTATCCAAAATTATACTTGTATTTAGGAAGGACCTATAGACATATGTGAGAATCTTAATAAGAGCTGGTTCAAAAAGTGTTTAGGCATCAGCCTACCTACCCCTTGACTACCACCAAATAACATTCTCAAAGCCCTTTTCATTAAGCATGAATTACATTTTTCTATAGTTTTAAAATCATGTAACTTTAACTCTGGGTGGTTGCATGGGCCAAAGCCCCCCTTGTTACCCTTGTAAACTTCTCCCTCATTGCCCAGGAGACTTCTGGTTATGTTGAAGGTGCCCATGAGACAAGACCTCTCCTGGCTGGGGCTGTCTGAGCAGCTGTCCATAGGGAAAGGGGATCCGGATTGGAAAAGTGATCTTTCTGGGGTGTAACTATTTCAAGATAAAAGAAGCAAGCTGGTCCTGTAGGGTCAAAACTTAGAAACCCAGGAGGCACCTCTTAGGTTCACCAGTTGGAGTGGGAGGCAGTGAGGTATAACAAGAGGCCAAGCAAGAAGGCCAGGAGGACAGAGTGGAACTTGTCAATAAAAAGGGTGGCTCAGGAGCTAAGGCCACAAGATCTGAGTATCTGCCAGCACAACTCTTTTTTCATCTTTGAACTAGAGTGATCCATTAAGTAAGCTAAGTCAGGACACATAGAATAAGTAGACCTCTTATTATTTCTTAATTATCAAATTATTGTTTGGTTCATCTGATTAGTATAGATTCTTCTCTATAAAAATAATCTCTAATTTTTAAAATTATGCAATCTTCAGAGATAGCATGCAGTTTTATATCATACTCAAGACTGCAGAGTCCAAATGTGACAGTATCTGCTTTGGATGTAGGTATTACAGATGCAATCACCCAGATATGGCACTGAAGATGACAGGCAGGGCCTCTTGGAGACTGTACCTGGTGAATGGGAGTTGGTGGGGGTAGGTGGCTCATCATTTTAGCACAGGGCCTAGGGATCAACGATGGGGGTCCAGCAATTCTACCTTGTCAATATCTCAGTATCAGTTAATCTTTGGGCATTATCAATTCATAATGCCTTAACTTATAAGAGGCCGAAAAGTAAAGAAAAATGACTATTTATAATAAGGGCCATAATTCTTTTCAGCAGCTAAAAATGTACAAACTCTCTGCCTAGTTTACTCTCATCCAAGCAATAGAGTTCTTGGGAAGCAGAATCAGTTATAAGACTGTGGATTCGGCAAGGAAGGGGCCTGAGAGGAGTGGAGGGCTGAGGTGGGAAAATGCCTCTATTCCAGAGGCCAGAAATGCTCAGGCCTCCCGTTCTGAATAGTGCTGGAAACAGGTAGAGTTCCTGTTCTCGGAGAATCCTTTTTCTAGACTCTTGGTGCAATCCTCACCTGTGTTCTTCAGATATGTTGACACCACTGATGAGGTTCTGGATTCCTTCATTTTCATGCATGACCTCAATTCTCAGACTGTACTTTAACCCTGGCCATCCCAGCTTTGATCTAGAAACATCCTGAGCTCCAAGGCGATATCCAGCCAATTTCATTCAAGATGTGGGATATTCCCAACAGCTGTAGCAGCAACAACTAACATCTACTGAGCCCTTACTATGTGACAGGCATGGTAATGAATGTTTTATCTTCATTAACTCATTGAATCTTCATAACAATCCTCGGAAGTAGGTACTAATAATTAGCCAGCACCATTTCATATATGAGGAAGTTGAAGCTTTGGGTGCTAAGTAACTTGTCTAAATTAGTAAGTTTCCCTCTTCATTACACAGTTGGTAACTGGTAGAGCCAGGATTTGAACCTAAGTGCTTTTGACTCCAGATCCTAAGTTCTTAACCATTGGGCAATACTGCCTCCAGGAGAAACCTTGATCCACCTCCTGAGAGTATCTCACTGTGGACTCCTATACAGTCAACACAATAAACAATGATACGTGGTCATGAGTGCTTTCTTCATTAAAATTTAAGCTTCAAAATACAGTTGACTCTTGAACATGGGGATTAGTGGCATTGACACCCCGCAGTCAAAAATTCTTCTATAACTATTGACTTCCCCAAAATTTAAGTTGTTTCTTAGAATCCATGGGGGATTGGCTCCAGAATCCCCTGTGAATACTAAAATCTATGGATACTCTGGTCCCCTACATAAAATGGTGTATAAAAATGCACACAGTTGGATCAAAAACAGTACAGGTATTTACTGAAAAAAAAAAATCCATCTATAAGTAGACCTGCACAGTTCAAACATATGTTGTTTAAGGGTCAATTGTAATATGTTTGGAGTGTAATATTTAGAAATTGAGCCATGACCTGGGGAGAAATACCTACAGAAAGAAACAATGTGAAATCTGAGAACCCGTTTATGAAAGGCAAAGAATCCACAGTATATTGCTCATAGTGTAACATTCTGAAAAATGTGTGTTGTGTGGTGAGCTCAGAGGAAATGCTAAACAAGGCACAGAATCACACAAGACCCTGCCCACACTGGAAAGGCAGCCAAGAATTACTACCCCCGCCACCCAGAGGGGGTGCCCTACTGAAGGCCACAGAGACAACAGTCTCCCTTCAGAGACTGCTTGTTATTTTTGATACTATGAGAATTTCCTAATGAATAAACAAATAATTAAGAGTGTTTTTTTTTTCTTTTTGTAATTCAGAATCAGTGAAGAAATAAGCATTTGGTGCTCAATTATGAAGGACATATCACAAATATTAGCTATCCCAAATAGCTTTACAGAGAAATAAAACTGAAAAGCAGTTCTAAGACCTGTTTCGCTGATCTAACCTTCTCTATGCTTCCCCATGTAGGATTCAAAAATTTAAACAAAAGCCAGATGTAAGTGAAAAACTGCTTGAGTAAATGTGAATCAAGAAGAAAATTTTAAAAAAGTCAGATAATCCTCCAACCTCATTTCAACCACTGGGATTCTCCCCCTTCGGATATTTTACAAAATGGCCAATGAGTTGTCAGCAATTAATTTATTGAGCATTGCAAGGTGCACAGACGGCATTGTACATAGCTTGAAAATGTCGAAATGATTTTTGTCACACCCCCTGTAAAGGCTTCCTGAGTTTCCATGGTTCTGTTGTCTTTCCTCCTGTGCTCCAGGGAGCATGCTGCTAGTAGCTTTCTTGCAGTACTTACCACGATGTTACATGTATCAGTTGTACCATGTGGTCACCCACTAGATTTCTGAACTCCTCAAAGATGGCACTCATGTAGTATTGATCTCTGCAATCTTGATGTTCAGTTACATATTTGATATCGACGAATGACTGAATGGATGACCAGTGCTTCACTCTAGCTCCTTCTCCCGACTCCCTAGTCTGCATGTAGGTGGAAGTGTGGATGCTGAGTGAGAAGCCAACATTCAAAAGGCACAATGGAAAAGAGGAGTGTCCGAAAGCGTGGCTGATCCACACACTAGAAAGTCAGCTCCCTAATAATGAAGAGTTGGCTGACCTCCCCAAGAGCCTGAGAACAAAATAGAGCCACAGAGACATCTTCAAGCCAGAGACAGGGGTTCATCAACCCGAACTCCTACCTCAAAGCCCAAAGTAGCTCACTGAGAGCAAACCAGCAGTCCAGCCTCCTGCTGGAGCCAGTACCAGTGAACCAGAGGCACAGCCAATACTCGTGGTCCAGTGAGGAGGGTCTCAGCCACCTGACCTTAAGGATATTTTTTGCTTTATTATCTTTTCCCAGAGTTCAAAAAAAGGCCACGCAAGAATAAATAAGACATTAAACAACTAGAAGTGAAACAGAAGATATTTCCAAACAGCTCTTAAGAAGCAGTTTGGATACCCTGCTCCTTGCATGGTGCCAAGGGGCTCTAGCTGCCATGATGCCCTCTTTAGGCCTTTCAGTTTGCAAATATGTACTGTGAGGGATATAGAATCCATGGGAGTCAGTAAGCGTAATATTTTGTATAGATGGCTAACCATGTCATCAAATAGGCCAAATCCAACTGATTAGTCTGCTTGATAGATGATGGAGAAAACTCTGCCATGGTCCAGGGACACAGCTGAATAGTACCACACACACTGCATATCTGATATCCCAGGTGTGATGGGACATGTGCAAAAGACCTTGGCTCCTGATATGCCATCAGTCAGCCGTGAAACTGAAGGCAAGACTATTGCCTCCCTGTGCCTCGGGTTCCTCATCAAATGAGGGTTTGGCCAGACCATCTCTTTGGTCACTTCCAAAATTCTCTTTCTTGCAGCCAGCAAGATTCTCGACCCATCAGTACTCTCGCCCTTCCATGTACTTTCACAGTGCAGAGATGAAGGAAAGCCCAATTACAGATGTTTATGTTCACGAACAGAAGTGTTGGTAAAATACTGCTTAAGATTCTTAACTTTAGTTCATAGCTCACTATCACGGACCAGTCTGGTGTCATACTTCCAAACCTTGCATCACAAATTGATCAGGATGGTAGCTTGCTGGCTACTCTTCTACTATGGGTCCAATTCAATTATTTTTCTGCAAAACGTAACTCTCACTAAGTGCACATTCCTTGTCCACTACCCGATGAAGAGTTGACACATTGTTCTCTCCTTGTTGCCTTTCTGGATCTCAAGTTTTTGCATCTGACTTTCAGTGGGTGAGCTGCACCCCCAACATCAGTATTTTACACTTGGCCATTTTTCACCTCACAGCAACTCTTTAGAATGCTCAGAAAAATACAGATGATTCATTCTTAGGTGTGGAAGGCAGATTCGGGTGTGGGGGATTCTGCTTCCTCCTCTTATAATTTTCGGTGCAAGATTTAAAATGACAAGTACTTGATCAAAACATTGGGGATTAGCTCTCAAACCAAATTTGCATTAATGGAAGAGTTATGTTTTCTAGCCTCAAATGTACTATAAATATAATTGCCTAAGAGACAATTCTTAATCAAGTTTATATATATATATATAAACTTGATTATATATGTATATGGACATTTTTTTTCCAAGATGACTAGAATGTTTCTTATTTTGTGGTTCTTGTCTATACATTTATACCAAAGACAACCAATCATTTAAGAACAGAAGTCAGTGTTTAACTGTATCAGGTACTTGCTTGATGTATATGAAAGACTGATCTAGTATGTTGCACAATATGACTTTTCATATTAGCTTAACGTGTAGGTCTTTAAGCTTAATCTTGCCAGCTAGAGATTTAATATATGTCAATCCAAGCTTGGTTAGGGATGCCCTCTGACCAATAGCACCTACTCAGAGCAGGGCTCTAACCCTTGTACCTTCTTCTTTATACTTGAGAGGACTGTATTACACTGTTCAAAGGGCAAAGGGCAAACAATTTTGCCCTTACATTCAAAATTTGAAATGCCGCATTTGGCATAAAATTCTTATCATTATGTAAAAAAAAAAAAAAAAAATGAAGCCAAGTTCAACTTTGGAGAAAAAGAAAACAATCTGGCAGGTTCTTGGGAGCCATAGAAAGCTAAGAGATATAGTAAATTCTATATCCTAAGAAAGTTATTTCAACAGAGAAGAATTTCTGCACTTATTAATGTTAGTTGAATTGGGGAGAAAGAGAAGCAAATGATAACAAATAGGTCAAGAATATTTATATCAGTTTTGCCTTAAGTCTCAGAGAGTAATAAGAACAACAAGATTCCTTTCTCCTTTTCTCAGAAACCCTTTGGTTTAAATTTGCCCTCTTCCCTCTTCTGTAACTTTTAATGATCACAAATGAATACCAGAGTATTTCAGGTGGCCGTCTGCATCAGAGTAAATGACTGCAGGTTATGGTTTAGAAGTTTGCCCATATCACAGCAGATGACCTACACGTAATCCCACTCGAAACGTTTCTCTTTAGAATGTACAGAAAAATCAAGTCAAAACTGTATCATCTTCCTTTGCAAAAACATGCAGAGATTCCCACCAAAGGCCAAAATATAATGATAATTGACAATGAACACAAACCCACTATACAAAGTATTTCAGCTTTCTCTATTTAAAAAAAAAAAATCAAATTCACTGTGACTGAACACTATTAATATTTTGAGTTCTATAAGTCTCCAGAATTGTCAAAAGTAACCTTGTAGCCAATTCGCTTGCAGACACTAAAAATAACCTGAAATAGGCCACCCATGGTGCCAAAAGCAGTGTCAAAGAGCAGAGAGATGGTGCCACCAAGTCCCATTGCAATGTCCTTGCACACAACTGGAACTGCACCCATAGTATACACAGGGAAAGTGGCCACATCCACAAGGACTCGGACAGGGATGCCCAGAATGCGACAAACGGCCTTGAGCAGACAACAAAGGATCCGGAGAATGGCCCTGATGATTTTGGCTATGACTTTGAGTACCTTCCAGGGAATGCTTGCCAGCTCTTCCCCAATGGCCAAGAAGTACGAGATGGTGGCTAAACCCAGGCGATAAAGGCAACTTTCTATGCCATTAATCACCTGCTTGGTGACATACCACAGGAAATACACAATGCTCTTTAGGATTCCTATTACGAGGTAACAAATTAATTGGAAAAGCTTGATGAATGGGGTAGCAATGAAGCCTATGAGTTTTCCCAAAAAGCTACTCCTTTCCTCAGATGCCTCTGGAGGCAGGAGAGCAGACTTCTTGCTCTTTGTGCTGGAGAGGGGACTAGAGGTCTCTTTAGATCTCACTGTTCGCTCTTCATCCTGAACTTGGTTAACCATTTCCAGGATTTTTTTCATTTTCTCCGTGTCTTGTTCCTTTTCACCACAGTTGTTCTGGAACAGCTGAGGGTTAAATGGAAGCAGTTTTTCAAGTTCTTTCACCATCACATCTTCTATGACATCACTGTCCCGGGTGTGCTTGACAAATCCCATGGCCCAGCCTCCTCCAGGGACTGCACAACAGGCTGCCAGCCAAACGAACTCAGGGATGGTCACTTTGTCCTTGACGTTGTGGTCTGAGGGCACGGCGCCTGTGAGGATATACAGGTCATCCCCACCGCCACACTGTGGGGTCAGGGCCCGGTCCATTAGGCTGTTGAGATTCATGTACCACCGTTCCTGGAAGGACAGGGTCATCGGAACTGCATTTGTGAGAGTGAACGTGGCCGTGTGGAAATCACTGCTAAGGGAGAATGGGTACAGCTGTCCTCCCTGGTAATCAGAATCCAGGTAATCCGTATTCAAGGCTTGCTTGCCTCCTAGATTTTTCACAGAAGTGATGGCGTCAGCCTCATTAATCACCTCCTCAAGGTTGCTGTCAGGGTCATCGATCTGAAAAAAGAGAGCAAGTGTTTAGCTGCACCCAGCTCACAGCAGTGAGGTGCCCTTGAATCGTTCTGTCGAGACTCCAGAGAAGTCCCTATTACACTCACACTTCCTACACTTGGGTCTAGAAGGGCTTGGCTCTCTGGTGCACATGCATTTCATCCTAGTATCTTACAATCTTGGTGTTTCAAAGCATCCTTTCAAACAGGCTGTTTCCTATTTCATTCTCTGTGTATCCTCCACTCTTACCCAGCAATAACACCCCATCACGTACTCACACTCACGTGTATTTACACCATCGTGACATTCATATTTAACCTGCTGTGGTTTTATGAATTTCATAGCTCTTTTTTGGAATATTTTTTCTATGAGATTCAAATTGATTGTAAAAATGAAAACAAGGACAGAGTAGATCTCAAGAGGCCCATAAAAATCAGAACTGCGATTCAGATAATCAGCCACCAATGATGACTGCAATTTAATGAACACATTCTTGATGAATGTTTACATACTTCGGGATATATGAAAAACAACTCTAATTGAAGCATTTAAATCAAATGGGGGGAAATGTACAGCTTATTGTCAGTTATCAGATACTTACCAGGCCAAGCTAAATTCAGATTTGAGCTCAGGACTGACCCAGAACTCTGTACTCTGTGTTTAGCTCCCAAACTAGACTGTCAGGGACCCTGCATATTCCCCAAAGGACCCAGCCAAAGACTGACGCATACTAGAATCGCAAGGCACTCTTGTTCATCTGTGCCCTGCGATGGTCATCATGGCAGTATTTATAATAGCAGGATGTTGAATCAATCCATTTTCAAAAGCAAGGAAAGGTTAAGTAAATAATGTTATAGCCATCACAGAAATATCTTAAAGCCATTAAAAAGCATTTGTAATTATGAAGATTTTATAATTTATAATGATGGGGAAATATATGCTATAATGTTGAAAGGAAAAGCAGGATATAAAATTAAATGAAAACAGATTTTTTTTAAAGTCTAAAAATAGGCAAGAAGCACTCTGGAAGGAAACACATGAAAATGTCTGCAACGGATATTTGATTCCTGGGGATACTAGAGATTTTATTTTTCTCTACTTTCTTGTTTTACTCCCTACATCTCTCCTACTGACACTAACCCACAAATTATAACGTGTTACTTCCAAAAGAAAACAAACAAAAAAAAGTAAATTCTTAATAATTGAGTCCCTAGAGTTGGTGCTACTCACTAAATCCATCATTAAATCGAAGGAAGTCAAGATCGTGTGACTTGTGTTGCACTCCTTTTCAGTGGGACAACCAACTGTGCAATGGCAAATGTAGTCATGCTCACAGAAGTGTGTGTAGGGTGAGTGAGGGCAGTGGGTGAGCAAACTGGTGTGAAAGCAGGACTATTTACTGAAGTCTAATGGAGTAATCCAAAGCCTCACCCTTCAAGGGTGTTCCATCTCTTCCCCCAGTCTTAGAATTGATCATCTAGCAATGATCCTAGATGTTCTCCACTCCCACCAGATCCCGGAGGAGCAAGATAAGCAGCTCATTCATTCTGTAAAGTTTCCACTGAGGCTCTCCTATGGCTGAAAGATACACTCCCATAGAAATATCAGCCTCATTCCTGAAATATGAGATCAAGATATGGCAGAGTCAAGATTGTAGAGTCTTGGATGTAAGGTCAGGGATTCCAAGATGCATGTGTCTCCATGGTTACTAGGGCATTGCATCTGCATTTAGCCTGTAATCATTTCTTGATTCCCTTTAGGGAAAGTTTGGATCTGTTTTATGAATTGGTAGCTCTGTGATGGAGTGTAGGCAGCATGCTGGTGTGTTTTCAGCCAAAGGGCCGTTCAGAGATGAAACAGCGCCTACACATATAGATGGCAGCCCTGGAACATGTGCAGAGGAGAGACTCTTGGATGAGGAAGAGGAAAGAACAAAAGAGAGAGAGACAGAAGAAGAAAGGAGAAGGGATAAAAGATGAAGCAGGGTAGGAGGTAAATGAGAGAGAGAGAGAGAGAGAGAAAGAAACAGAGAATATGTATGTGTGTGAGAACAAACACATATTCTGCTTTTAGGCAAAAACCAAGACTGTGAGTCGATTTGCTCCCCAGCTTTATAACATGGTCTCCCAGCTGCCAAGGTCAGAGAAGACTTAGTTGGTCGCTTCTGCATCCTCTCAAGCCACGCGAGTTCATAGGGCTCCAGATCTCTGCTATGGCCATGCAGGTTAAAAGCCTTTTCTGCCCACACTTCATAGGCACAAGGAAAATAGGCCAGGGTAGAATTGAGGTGGCTGGGAAGGCAAGGACCTAATTCTATAATGGACCCTGTGCACTTCCATACCCTGGGCCTACCTAAGCAAAAACAGTAACTAAGCTATATGTTCTGGATACAAAGGCAGAAGAGAGCACATCTGCTCTCCCCTTCTCCTTGCTTTCTCAGAACCCACTATCCATGGGCACCATATTTTTATCATCCTCAAATGTGGCTCTATGATTTGACGACAAGATATAGTGTTTGAAATCAAGACAGAATGTCTATGTGTTGTACTTATATAGTGATGGGGTGGGATGGTCAGGGACTAATATGGTTTGAACTACCGATTAATTGTTTTCAATATAACATGATACATAAGGTATTTTTACCTTATTTTACAAATGGGGAAACTAAGACACGGAAATGTGAACTTTTCCAAAGGCATCCAATAATTAGCAGGAACCGGATTTGAACTGAGGTCAGTCTTGTTATTCCTACAGCATTTGTTTTTTACTACTAAGCCATACTTTCCTCCATCTTAATGAATAGTTAGAACAGTTTTCTTCACCAGAGAATAGAAAAAAAAATTACTGCACTATCAATAATCTCCCTTTCTTTCTGTGTCATGGAATAAATCAAGTTCCTCAAGGCTACAGGGAGAAAAGCTGATATCTCAGCCCCTGGTGTTGCAGCCCCAGACTGAAGAGAGAATGGAAAGAAGTGTATGTAAAGGCGTGTAAAATGTAAAAGCGTGTATGGATAAGCTGACCTTCTTGCCTCCTTTTTGCCTTTGCCCAGGGCACATGGCAGCTAAGCCACTAGCTTCACAGTCCAAAAATGTGGCAGCATAGGCAGTGGGCAACTGGCCAGAGCAGTTTCTAGAGTACTACTACCCTTAGAAACCCGTCAGTTGACTCGTCCATAGTGTCCCCAATTAGGACCTGACTTGGCTACTCACTTTTTTTTTTCTCTGCACCAGCAGGGGTAGCAGAAAACAGCAAGCACAGCAAAACCTCTTAGAGAAAACTGAAAAATCAGTGTCCTCACCACAGCTTCCTCTGCTCCCACTCCATAGAACAGAGTTAAACAGTTAAGAAAGGGACTCTATACAGACCAGAGCACCTAGGTAAATTGCATGGCTTAACTGAATCTGGGCTGTGGCCTTTAACACTTTATATTTTCAATGAACAAAGACTCGTTCATGTTGCCTCCTCTAAGGATGGGTTCACTGGAAGGAAATGAAGGTATAGAAAAGTAGAACTAATGGTCTCCACAAAGACCCAGGAACTGTGGTATAGCTTGGATTGGTGGAGCCAGAAAGGGATTCCAGGCAGCCCTAGAGAATTAAGGCAGCAAGAGCCTGTAGTTGAGACTAATTAGACATTAATGTTTGCCATTAATGAGACTCAGTCACATTTGACCTGTCAGACTATTTCAATCTCTCCCTCCTGGCTTCTTCGCCTACTTTTTTCTACATAGCTCATCTCTACCTCATGGCTTCTACTTACTTATGATCTCTGTTCCATCGTAACTTGACCTCGCACATAGACCATCATGGCCTCCCTAGCCACTGACCATATCATTAACCTGCAATTTTGGCTTCTTCTGTTATTTAATTTCTTTTTTCAAATGTTCGAGACAGAATCTGATTTATATCTTTTCATATCAGGCCATGTCAAGACAAGCCTATCCTTGAGTTAACTGCTCACCCTTGTCAAATCAGCCATAGCTAAGTACTGCAGAAAGAACCCTGGTGAACCACATAGGGCTTCCTCTCCATCAGGGACCATGTGCCAGACATTCCAGAGTTGTCTTGTCTAGTCAGAACCTTAGTTCAATGTACCAATGTAGATAACTGAATGTGAATACTAACAGACAAAATTTAAACACAAAATAAAAAAGAAATAAATTTCCCAAGGTTTATCTAATCCAGTATTAAATCGCTGACAAAAATACCAAAGGATGTTTTATAAGACGACAGGACCTTCCATGAATCCTCTATTCTCTCCTTTGAGCATCTGATTAGAAATACATCAAAACCTTTCTTTCTTTTTCCTTATCTTTTTCCTATTTTCTATCTCATTAACTCTATATTTTATTCCATGTGAGCTCTCCAGATCTATCTTCCAACTCACTAGACTTTAGCCATGTTTAGTCTACTTGTTTGTTAAGGTGTTTTTCTTTTTTTTCATCTTTATGACTCCTTTTTTTCTACCATTTATATTTGGTTCTATTTGAAGTTCTCTCTCTTTTTTCACCTTTTGTGAAATTCTGTTTTATCTTTCAATAATTGAAACATGCTTATTTAAAAGTCTCTTTACTAGTTCTCTATTTTATTTGTTTTTTTTTTTTTAGTTTATTTTGTTGATTCTACTGGTTGACTTCAGGATGGTGGGTATATTAAGTGCTTTGCAATTTTTGCTGGTAATCTTGTCTTCATAAGAGGTCCACGATGGTTTGTTGAAAACAAACAAATGTAATAGGATTACTTTTGCAGTTGTCTCTGCCAGAGCCCTAGAGAATTCAATAATTCTGGAGTAGTTTCTGAGTTATTTTCTCAGTTCAGGATCTCCACAGGGAGGAAGCAGTATATCCATTCAAAGGAAAGATGATGGCTCTAGGCTTACTTCTGGAGGGTGACTATTTCCACTCTGACATGGTGTGAGCAGCCAGTTTCTATAACAACTTACAGGTGGTTTTCTGCCTGGTTCACCAGTGCTGCAGCAATTTGCCAGCTCCCAGCTATACTCAG